TTAGAAATTAAGATTATAATATGATTCCACTGTACACTCCCTGGAAGGCTACAATGAAAAAGAGTGACCATATTAGGAGTGGGGGCAATAAGGAGTAATTGGAAGTCTTATAGACTGCCTGTGAGAATGCAAACTGGTACAGCTTGACAATTTCCTAAAAGTCAATCATACACTAGCCATGCAACCCAGCTATTCTACTCTTAGACATTTATCCACGAGGAATGAACACATACATTCATATGAACAAAGTGTTCACAGTATTGTTATTTACAATAGTATCAGACTGGAAACCATCCAAATGTTTATCAGCAGGTGAATGGATAAGCAAATTGTAGTATATCCATGTGTTGGAATACTAGTAAGCTGTAAAAAAACACATATTATTGAAATGTGCAGCAAAATGGATAAATCTCAAAAGCCGAGTTAAGGAAGAAATGTAGAGTGAAAGAAGCCAGGTACCAAATGTATATCGACATGTGCCTGTTCACACCGATGTTCTGGGGAGCTACAAGGCTTAGACTAGAAGCCAGGTGCCCAGACTCCCTGCGTAGTATGCTTTCTCCTGTCCCATGGAGTCAATCAAGGGTGGAATAAACTATTTCCTCAGAGGAGATTTTTATGATCCAGACTCTTCCCAGGGTTGGCGTGTCCTTATTGGTCTAGAAGGCATCGAGTCCCTGATGAGCCCTTAAAGTTTTGGAGACCATTGCTAAAACTGGAGGTCTCACACTCATATGTGCTCTTGGCTAACATAGAGTTTTTCCATTGTTTACAGAGTATGTGGTGAGAAAACAGCGGCATCAAGTTGGAGCTTGGTGCTCTCCCCTCTTATCCATCTGTGGGTCTCTTCCTCTCCATCTGCATTCCACATTCATTCGAAACATTGATCATACCTGCTGGGAATTGGTTGTCACAGCATAGCAACTCAGGGACATGGTTGTCCTTTGTCTGTTCATCTTTAATCTGTGCCTTTGCTTCCCTGTTTGTCCTGTGTGTACTCAGGTGTATCTTTTTCGGGGGAGGTGTGTGTGTCAATGTCTCTTCTCTTTTCTTCTTTCCCACTCTTCCTCCCTCTCTCCCTTCTTTCCCCCCTTCCTTCCTTTCTCTCTCTTTGTCTCTTCCTCTTCACCTCTTTCTCTGTTTTTGTCTTCCCTCAGATCTCACTGGATTTGTTTTCTTTTTCTTGTCTCTCTGATTGTCCTTCTGTCTCTCCCTACTTCTCTGTGTTATCATGTCTGTCTCCCTCATTGTCCTCCCTCCTCTCTTTACAGAATGTGCATTTGTGCACAAAGCAGGAGCTGCCAAGGGTTCTTGGATTTCTGTTCTTCACCCAAGTTTGTGGAGGACCCTGAGGCCACCCTATTTGTTAAGTAGATTGTACAAGATTTTCCTCTTTCGATTGTTTATGTAAATGCATTTTGGTCCCCCTGATAAGGAGATCTCATTGGACTTGTGCTTTGGACAGAGGTTACACACATACGCGTGTGTGCCTGCGCGCATGCACATGCACACACACATCTATATTTTTTCCCCCAGATTGTAAGGAGACTTGCCTTAGTTTTAAATACAAGTGAAATGGTCTCTTTGAGGTAGATATTCTAAAGCAATTCTGAAGGAGGTTGGAACCTAAAAAACTCAAGTAAGCTTCTATTTCTCATGGTGGAAGCCAGATTGATAAAATAGTCATTGAGCACCTCCTGTATACAAGGGGTCAGAAAAATAGATGTAAACTATAGTCTTTCAGGGACACACAGGCTACTAGGGCAAGATTCAGGTAATAGAACGCATTGTTTACTTGTCTGAGTGTTCCAATAAGGAAAATACAACAAGCTATGAGAAGAAGTCCTTAAGCCTGGAGTAATCAAGGAGGGCTTCATGGAGACAGTGATATTTGATCTGGGCCTTGAAATACATACAAAAGTTTTCCAGAAAGACAAGGGTGAAAGACATTCTCTGTGAAGAGATGGCATGGAAGGATAAAGCAGTTTGGGATACTAAGAACCTAGTGTGCTAGAGGATGTGGATGGAAGATTATATTGGGGCCCTACTCTTTGAAAGTGAGGGCAAGGAATTTGGCCTTTTCCCTGATGACCATGTGGGGTCGTGGAATATTTCCACGGCAGAGTCTGCGTAGGTGAGAGAAGGGAGGTGTTCAGACCAGAGGGAGGAGATTGAGGCAGTGCTGCAGGGGAAAGAGGAGGGAGCTCTAGCAATATTTCTCCTCCTCACATTGTGTGTTTCCTTGAAATTTGGTTCCATCTGACCTCTGCTTACAGGAGGGTTTGTATTCATTAGAAAACCATCAACGAACCTCTACAAGGGAGTCGGCCTTAGGGACATGGAGATGGAAATGACATGGTTGTGCTGGAGTCTTAAGGAGCTTAACATTGAAAAGCAATATGACCAAATTGATAGGGGATTTCCGTGTGACCCATTAGGTACCAGGACAGAGGAAATAGAAAGGGGACATGGGGGCCCGGAGGAGGAACTTCACACAGCATGGGAGGGGCCAGTGTAGGTGGGCTTTCTGGAAAAAGGGAAACCTGGCGCCTGGGTGGCTCAGAGGGTTAAGCCTCTGCCTTCAGCTCAGGTCATCATCTCAAGGTCCTGGAATTGAGCCCTGAATCGGGCTCTCTGCTCAGCAGGGAGCCTACTTCCCACCCCCCATGCCTGCCTCTCTCCCTACTGGTGATCTCTTTCTGTGTCAAATAGATAAATAAACTCTTAAAAAAAAAGAAAGAAAGAAAAAGGGAGACCTGCATTGAGCTCAGAAGATAGGCCAGAATTATCTAGAGCTGTAGCCATTGAAGTGTGGTCCCTCGTTTAGTAGCAACACCCCTCTCTGGGATATTATGAGAAATGCCAATTCTTGGAGCCCACCCCTGAATCCAAACTCAGGGTCTGGGACCCAGCAGTCTGTGTTTTAACCAGTCCTTCGATGTATGCTCAAGTTTGAAAGCCAAGGGAGGGAGCGATGTAGGCAAGGGAGGGAGCCAGTTGTCCCAGGCCCTGGGAGCAGGTGTGCAAAGGCATGTAGGTAGTAGATGGTCAGGTAGGAATGTGGTTCGGAGACTGGAGCACAGACTCACTGTGCAGACATGCCATAGAGGAGCCTAGAAGTCTTGCTGGGATGGACAACGGAGGACCATAAATATTGGGTGAAGGGATGTGGACCTTATCCTGAAGGGAATGTGAAGCCACAGAAGGGCTTTATAGAGGAGACGGGCCTGGTCAGGTTTCTCTCTAGAAGCAGGTCTGAGGGGGGTGCGTGTGTAAAGCAGGGACTTAGTATTTGTTGAACGGACCCAGGAAGAACTAGAACAGTTCCCTCCATCTGATGACCACACTGCAGATCAAGGAGGGCAAAAAAACAAAAACAAAAACAAAACCCAAAAAACAAAATCCAAAACCCAAAACCAATAAACACCTTAACTCTTGAGCCAGTTCCAACCCATTGGTAGCAGCTTCCTGAGTGCTATGTTGAGAAGGATCCTGAAGTCTGGAATCCAGAAGAAATGAGGTTTGTGGCTAAGCAGCCAAGTCTGGCGCAGACAGGAATAGTGGGGAGGTGAGGATGTGGGGGGGCTCATGTGCTACATTTTAAATCCAACTTGCTCTCGCCAGATCATCAACAAGACGAAAACAAAAACACATGTTTTCCAGTACTCATTTGTTCTCAGGAAACCCAGCCTTGCTCCTAGTCAATCCCAGCAAGAATCAAGTCTAAATTAGGTGGAAACGAGTCATTGAGGGCCACGGAGTCCTCTCCTCTGTACACCCCCGCAGTGTAAAAGCCTCCGATGTCTTGACACAATGGCTGAGATTCTATCATTCTGCTTTTCTTTAGGGCAGGACAGGGACGATCCCTGTAGAACCAAAGATGCCACGAGAGGAGATTCAATTCTTTGCTTCACATATCATTCACCCTAGGAGGTCAGTCAGTTACCAGCAGCGGGCCACGCCCAGCTCTTAGGAGGGGAGGAGTCACACGGTTCAGCAGGACAATACAATATTAAAGAAAACTTGTCTGTCCGAGTGGCCTCCCATTGCACGGGATGCTGACTGGGTGCCAACTGGAGGCCTGGAGCACAGCCCAAAGAGCCCCCCTCTGGTGTAAAATGGACTTGAAGACTTGCATTTCATCTTCCAAATTTATGCAATCTTAAAATTCCACTCCATAATATGCAACATCTGGGTTTGTTTTAATGTAGTATTCTTGACATCAAGTAGAATTTAAATTACTTACCCGTAAGTGAAAAGGAGACCCCAGGTAGACGCCCAGTGCTTTTCCTATAATTTTGTACCCCAGTAGACATCCCCCCCCAACAGCGTTCCAGAGGATCTGTGTGCTACAGGTGGGGGGAAAAGGCTGCTGGATGAGCAAGGGAATCCCTGACCTCCCCCCACTGTGCGACATTGGGTAAATTACTTCACTTCTCGGAGTTTGCCTCTCTCATCTGGCAGTAGGAGAACACACAGGATGGGAGGAGTAACATAGATGAAAGTGTGTAGCACAGGCCTTGGCACATATTAGGTCCTCAATAAATTTAAGTTCAATGCCCACATTCAGGACCCCGAGTCATGAAAACCACGGTGTGACTAAATTAGTCCAACACAGTGAGACCCGAAGGGGATGGGAACGTGAAAGGGACTTTTGGATTTTTGGATCATCTCTGCTATTTCCCCTGGCTGTAATTTGATGTTGCTGTGAGAACTGGAAGGAAGGAGGCGTCCCTCCCTGTGGGGAATCCTGGAAGGCTTCAAGGAGCTGGTGTTGGAGCTGGACCTGTCTGCTGGTCGATGACTGGATCACAGTTCATGAAGAAGGAGACTGGAGACCAGACTATCCGGTCAGGGGGGTCTGACCCCGGAAAGCCTAGCCTGCATTAGGAAGACTAGTTTTCATTCAGTTGGCCAGCGAGAGCCATTGAGGACTTCTGAGGGTGGAGGAGCTGTGAAGGAGAAAGATCACATAAAAAGTTTTGAGGACAGGTTCGTTCCCGCCTCTGTGTGGTTCCTGCTCCATCCTCTGTGCCTACAAAAGAGTAAGTGTCAATAATGGATATTTGAATGAATGAATGAATGAATGATGGCATTGTTCTGGCAGCTGGATTTTGGAGCAACCAGAGAGGGCATGCTGGAGGTAGAAGAACCAGTTCAGAGACTGTGGAGGTGCTCAAGGGGTTGGTAGTGGGCTGGGGTCAGGGGCAGCTGGGGGGAGACTCTGGGAACATCACCCTTCTCCTGTTCTCTGCGCCTCCCATGGAGCTCTGACCGCTCTCTGAATTTGGGGGAAAGCTTCAGGGCAGCATAATTCATCCTGACAGCCTTGGCCCAGCGTTCTCCCAGAGCCTCTGTTCCCCTCTGCTCCCTGCTCAGATTGGAACACAGTCCGGGCATGCTCGAGAGAGGAAATCGTCATTTGCATCTAAACATGAAACAGCATTTTCCTGAAGCTGCGAGCAGGGCCCAGCTGGTGTGCATGGGGCTCTCTCACAATTATAGCCAGCTTGTTTCAATTTGGACCTGGGGGTTTCGGGGGAGGACTTCATATGCCGCTTCCCAGTGGGAAGACACTCACACACACCCACACTCAAGTGAGTGCACCGAGTTGGAGCCCCCAGTCCCAGCTGTCTTGGCTGCAGAAAGGACTTCCCGGGGGTAGGAGGAGGAAGGAAGGGATGGGGGTGCACAATGCATTCTTTGTAAACCTCTGGGGAGCAGCTACTTTGGGAAGTTCAATAAATCCACGGGGAGCCAGAGGGAGCGGCCCATGGGTCCTGGAACCTTCTGACAATGTTGAACACCCACTATGTTTGAAGCATTTTGCCAGATGCTTTACTTTGTGTTTTCTGCAGGAGGCAGGTGGGGTGGAAGGCTGGAGAAAGAAGCAGGCTGGTTGCCAAGCCCTTAAGATTGTTTTGAAAAATGATAAATTAAAGTTGAAAATGTCACCGGGGGGGAGAGTTCAAGGAGACTCATTGAAAACTCGCTGCCCCAAGTGAGCCTCGATTCCTCCTGCCATGCCGTCTCTTCCAGTCAGGGCTGGGTGCAGAGGTTGGGGACACACGTAAGTTAATGTCCCCAGAGCTGTCCCTTTTTTCATGCCCAGACTGTTTGCACCTCCTCTTCTGATCGTAAAGAGTCCGGAACCCAGCTGCTTGTCCCTGGACCCTCTCCCCATGGTCCCCACACCGTGCCTGTACGTGTCCACCAGCACAGAGGCAGGGGACTCCGGGGCCCTCAGCAGACTGAGGCTGCAAAGGGACACAATGATGAGAAAGTCCTCACGTTGGGGAGGGGCTGGCCTGGTATTCTGCAAGTGTCTCAGGCTTTACAAGTGTCTGGCTAGGGAGCTCCCACGGAACAGCCACGGACTCCAGGCAACATTGACTTACCTAACACTTATCGATAATAGCTAACGCATCTGCTGTCCTTTTCCAAGTGCTTCGATGAACTCACCTGGCTTTCACAATCACCTGAGGAGGGACAACCATCACCCTCATTTTACAGGCCCAGGGGGTTCTACCACTTGTCCCAGAAAGTGGCAAATGTAGGATTTGAACCCCAGGCCATCTGACTTCCAAGTGAATGCTTCATCCCCACTCTTTGGGGCTACCTTCAGCCAGCTCGGTGTGCACAGCGATAAGTGCGGGGGGTCCTCCTCCTCTAACTCCTCTCTTCAAGGAGCCAGGAGTCTTGCAGAAAGTTCTCCAGCAGCAGTGAAACAGTCCTCTCTGTTAATTAGGTGTTTCAGTTTACTGTCAGCCTTCCCCCCGCCTCCCCGGGAGATCTAGCAGTATTTCCAATAAATTGTGTTTCATGGAAAGAAATAGAAAAAGACAGTGAGTAGATCCCAGGTTGGGGACAGCAGAGTTTCTTTCAGGGAGAACAACTGGGCCATTGTCTACATTAATAGGACTTCCTGGGGAGGGAGCTGGGGGGCCTTACACTCCAGTTTTATCTTTGCAGTGACCAAATTCAATTCCTTTTTTCTTCTCCTTCCCTTTGGTAAGTAGTATATTTTATTCTCACATGGACCACTCCTTATTCCTGCAAAAACAAACAAACAAACAAATTACAGTTTTGGCTTTGGACTTCAAATAGGGATGAGGCAAGGGTTTGCTTGTGTCCCAAAAAATGGAACATTTACAGAACCCGCTGCTGTGGCACCAAGAATTTCCTTCCAGTGAGCGCTCTGGGGTCTCCTTGCACCAGATACCTGTGTCTCAGAGAAAGGCTGTAATGTTCTGCTCTGGTTCCATCAGCTCTGACTCCCATGAGAGAAGCTGAAAAACAAGACCTTCTCTTTCCCAGTGTTCCTTGCGTTGAGTTTTTGCCAGCCAGCTCAAATCACCCAGACTTTGTTTGGATGCTAGGGAGGAATTGGGGATACTGAAGATGACCTCCAACTTCGCAACCTTCCTCATTTCTGGAACAGATTGCCAGGGCACAGTAAGAGTAAGAGCTTCCTTATTCCACTGCTACATTCACGTTCCCTGTGTCTCTTTCAGTAGCTCAGTTGGTTTTGTCCTTTACTTGACTGAATGGCCCTGGCAGTCATTCCTGGAAGGTCTAAACCTGAAGTAGATCCGAATGTGCTGGTTTTCTATGGTCTTCCATCAACTTTTATCACTAGTCACTCTAGGTCATGTTGCAAGAGCACCAACCCGCCTTTTGGTAGTCTTGAGCACCAGTCCAAGACCCATTATTGTGTCCCCTTGGTAGAAGCATTCTTTCCTTGGGAATTAAGGCCTCTGAGATAGCAGAGCCCTAATCTGTAGTAATGGGAGTAAAATTTTTGTGAATGGGTTGTTAGAGTTAATGGAAAGAAGCTCCTTCTGCCATTTGGTCTTTACACCCAAGGAGTTCGGTGATGGGAAGATGGCATCAAATAGTTCAGAACATACACTGTGTCTTGTAGCATAGTCCCCCAACCCAGAAAATAGTGCCATCTGGCAATCCCCATAATGAGTCTTTAATAGGTCACTGCACTGTTCTATCTGATAGATGGCCTGCTTGTGAGTGGTGAAGTTCATGATGAGACTCGTGGTCATGAGTCTGTTGTCCTTCCTCTTTAGACAATGAGTTTCTTGGTCAGAAGCAATGTGAGGGATTCTGTGATGGACATAAGGCATTTTTATGTCTACTGATAGAGACATTGTTAGAAACATTGTGGGCAAGAAAATAAAAATCAAAACCATATATATATATATATATATATATGATATAGCTAATTATCTATAGCTATCTATAGATATATAGTTGTCTGTTCCATTGAAGATAAATCATTGCCCAATACTTGATCAGACCAGGTGCTCTTCCTGCAAGTGACACCGTACCCGAGGCTCAGCCTTGTTCTCTACATTTGATGGGCTGGACACCCATGCATGTGTTCAATAACAGACTTCTCTGGCTAAAGTCAGTCTGGCTGTAGCACTGTTAAACTGCCTCCCTGCAACCATGACCACCTTGTTCATGAGCCCAGTGAACACACAGCAGGGAGGCGGAGAAAAGAAACTACGTAACAACAGAATTGGACATCTTGGCCATTTGGTTATTGAGTTTTACTTTGCTGTGGACAACATCTTTTTTTTGTGTGTGTGTGGACATCTATGTAGACACACATAGCCTCATGCTCTGTGCCCATGCTGAGGGATCCACCCCCAGACCTCCTTGCCACCATCCTCTAATCTTGTTCTCTCTAAGACCCTGCCCATCTAGCCATGTTGAGCACCCTAGGCCTTCCTAATAAGCTCCAAATAACTTAGTGTGAGCCCTAAACTTGGTGGGAGGGGGATCTCTTTTGGCTATTCAGATGCTGCTTAGTTTAAGACCTAATTAATGAAGAACCAGGAGGTAAAGAAATAAGGATTGATGCTTTTCCTTCTCCTTTCCAGCTGAGCTTCCCATCCCAGCACTTGGGTTTTCAGAAAGGGCAGAAGGCCAAACACATGGAAAGCTCCAGGCAGCCCAGCAGGAGGAGAGGTGAGTCATTTACTTCTTGAGGCATTAGGTTCAGTAATGTCCCATTAATCTGGTTCCATCAGGAAATGAGCTGTGTCACCTAAGTAAATTTTCCAATAAGTGAACCTCTCCCTTTCATGTGCCAAAACTTGATTTAATCATTTTGGATGGAAGTCTCTCTAAAACCAATTACATGCTTCTCTGACTATTTCAGTGGAGGATCGTGCCCATATTCTAACCTTTTCTTGAGGACATGGGGACAACTCACTTATAAGGTTCTAATTTAAGAAAAAATAAGGAGCTATTTGCTCCAATAATGAATTTCCTCATCCTTGTGAATTTTGAATTAAATCTTCCTACCACAATAATTTTATTTGTTTCCAGCCTTATTTTCTCATGCTCTTTGGTGGCTGTGTCACAAGCCAGACAAGAATGGGTTCTGGAGTCAGATCTGTATATGAATTCTAGCTCTGCTGCTTATGATCTCTGGGTTCCAGTGTCTTCTATGCAATACAAGTACACGTTACATTTCTCTCTTGTCTAAAAATTTCTACCATCCGGTATCACTGTCAGGGCCAAATATGTATTAAGAGGGAAGACCCATGGTGTGACAGCACCTAATACGTTGTGGGTGGTTAATAATAAACATGACTTCCCAGTGATTGGGTTTAGTTCTTGCTCTGTGATTTCCTTCCCATTCCAACCTGCTAAGTCTGGTGTGCAAAGGGTCACCTGTGATCCTCAAGGGCAAGGTTGTGACTGTCTTATTCACCCCATCTCCAGCTGCACCTAGCAAAAAGCTGGGCATGGGTAGGTGTTGGGACATGTTTTCCTCATCACCACAAAGAAGCATGCCAACTCCTCAGGGGAAATGAAGCCTCTCGTAGAGTACATCCTGCCATCAGTTTTGTATGTGGAGGTCAGGGGACAGGTAACCATTCTAGAGACTTTGGATCTTTAAGCCTTTCCAATTCCATAGTCAAGCCCCATCTCCAATGCCCTCCCCCAGTTTTTCTGTTTAAGGAGAATGGTAAATGCATCGCTGCTAAACTGTTAGAGAAAGGGGAGAAGGTATTTTCTTATTAAACTATTCCTAAGTTCTCTGAGGTGCAGATAAGAACCATGGAAACTTCCCATATCACCCTCTCCCCCTTTCTCCCACCTCCCACTCAAATCATTTCCCTCAGAAGCACTCTGCCCTTCGTGCCATTGATAAGGCATGAATAACAAGTGAGAAATTAGTAGTGAAGGGCTTGCCAGTTGTATTTCTTTTTAAAATTTGAGTTCTTGGAGACAAGACCAAAGCCACATATTGGCAGGGAAAGGCCTGCCTCTGACAGCAGCCTGTGCCAGGCTCCTAGAATGCTGATTCATCTTCTTGGGCAGAGATGACTTCTCCAGAGAGAAGTGGGGGCAAAGAAGGGGAGGGAAGAAAGGGGAGGCAAGGGAAATTCTTGTTATTTACTAAGCACTTAGTATGTTTCAGACTGTATATATGTTGTTTCATTCACCGCCGACCAGAATCCTGTGGGGTAGATAATGTTATCAGCCATTTCTTGCAGACTAGGTAGACGGTTTGAGAGGTTGAAGGATTTTTCCAAGTTAGTGCAGTCGATACAGAAGAACTTTACTTGGTGGGTGATAGAATGTAGGGTAGATGTCTCCATTGAGATATCCTCTCTCAATGTCCCAATCTTACTCATCATCACCCAGAAGCCCAGAAAAAAGAAAGAAATATGGAAACTCTGATAAAATTTTAAAAAATTTTGATGTCCTCTCAAGGTTGGTATCCCAGAGTACAGGAATTACAGTTATCTTCACCATTTTATGTATGTAGCACTTTAGAATTCACAAATATTTTGCCCTCTTGTCCTCCCCACCCCCACTCCTTCCTCAAAGTAGCTGCATGCTGTTTACCACAGGAGCTCTCTGGCTTCACTTTCATCTTAAAAAGGGGCAGAACAGTTTGTGCACTACTCATAAGAAAGGTTTTAGGAGATCAAGTAAGACATTAGCTCTGGTTCTTCTATTATCTCACTCTTTTAGAGTCTGGTGCTTAGTGAAATGGTAATTAAACAAATTATTTGTGCAATTACGTGTTCACCATCAGTTTCTCTAGGGGTCTTGTCAGCCTTGCTCATCATTATATCTCCAGCTTCTTTATCATGGGGATCTCCTTGGCAGTATAGGATATGAATCCAAGTCTCAGGATTGCGGCTGTGAGATGGGCGGAGGGTGGAAACAATCCACTTAAAACAACAGAAAATGAGAGAAATAAAATATTCGAACGGAACTAAACAATGCCAGTGAAGATCCATGTTCACAAGTTACAAAGCCGATGCCAGGACAGGCCGTTCACACCCACTCCAATGGGTGGGGTCAGCAAATTTTGATGCTGACTCGACAGCCTCCAGTTTGGCTGGGCAGTGTGGGAGCAGGGTGAGGGGTGTGAAGAGCTCAGTGATCGGAGTCTGGAAGTCACATGAACAAGTCCCTCAGGTTTTGTTTCATCTGCAAATTTCACTGGAATGCTTTCTGTTTTCATCCACGAGACTAGCCACATTTACAAATCTTGTTGTGAAGGAGATTACTAGTGGTCAGAAGGCTCCATTCTTGGCCCTTCCCATCTAAAAAATAGTGCGGGTAAGGCAAACCCAACATTGATGGCCACAGCTCTCTACGGACAAGCAGAGAACATGCCCACCAGAAGATTTTGAGGAGAAGAGGTTGATGGTCTAGCTAGGTTTTGACAAGGAATCTGGCAAACTCTCTTAGGATGTCTTTGAACAACATCAGTGGAATGTTCTAGATCTGGTAATGTAGTATCTCAACTCCAATAAGAGATGAGCCTACTTTGGTGTGATCCCTTTGATTAATATCTTTCTTCTTTTCCATGCCACTGATACTGGGTTGATATTCTTCTCTTTAATTCTTCTGAGAATTGTCTTCAGATCATTCGGTCACTAACATGTACTGAGCATCTGATCAGAGGCAGGCAAATCTAATTTGATTCTCTCGGCAATCCTCCCTCATGGGCCCTGGTCTTGCTCCCATCTTAGAGATGAGAAAATAGAAGCTTAGAAAGACTTGGAGACATGCCAAGGTCATGTGTGCTCCTTCTAGCTTTTCGTATTTATGGGGGAGATACAGAAACGAAGGTTGTTGTCCTAGAAGAGTGAGGGGAAGGAATCTAATATGTATAAACAATCATGTGCTGGGCGCCTACTGAGTGCTTTATGAGCCTTGTCTTGTGAGATTCACGCACACCTAGGAGGGGTCCTCCTTTTTTGGGGGGGTCTCCCTGCAACTTGCTCATTGCCATGGAGCTGGGACATGAGGGCAAGCTTGGAGCTCTGGTCATAGGCCACGAGTCTTGTCCTACTCTATATGGAGCTGTCACTACAGTGCAGACAGAGCAGGCCAAGCTGGGGCATCTCACTGGAGACTAGGGAGGCTGAGAACCTGGGAGGCAGGGGACACAAGAGGGTGTGGCTGTCCCCGGAGCCCTGAGTGTCACAACCAGTCAGTGTCTGCAAGCTTCCTCCTATTGTCACCCTGCCATTTTGGAGCTTTCAATGTTGTGTTTCTTCCCAGCTAAAAATAAGGTTTTGTTTGCAGCAGGGCAAAGGCCCCGGGACCCTCCTGAGAAAATCCGCAGAGGAAACAGGACACAGAGTGGACGGCAGAGGCAAAACGTCAGCTCAGTTCCAAGAGGCTGGAAGTGTGGAGCGGGAAATGGGACTTCCCTTGTGTTTTTATGTTTAGCTGGGGTTTAATTAATAACCGGCAAACAAGTCTATAATTAACTCGATTTCCCTTTTGGCCGGCCAAGGGAATAATAATAAAGGTCCTTTTTAAGTCCTCGGTGTTGCTGGAAGGATGGGAGGGAAATCAGGCTGCAAGCAACACTTGCACAAAGCGAGCGCCCTGCAGAACCTTCATTGCCCCCACCCCCCTGCAAATTGTATTATCTATACCAGATGTTGCATTAAAAGAAGAATTACTGTACTTCAGTGCTCAAATTATATGTGCCTGATTTATTGCCCTGACTCCATTGTAATGCTACCTTGCAGAATGCTGATAAATGATAGCTTATTATTTTGCAGAGTGCCTGAGTTGATGAAGATATCAAGGGCAGGAAGGGGTGAACTCATTCCAGGCTCGGATCATTCGGCTGGCAATTTTGCACTCCTTTTTGATATTTTAAATCTCCTCACACCCAACCCACCAAACATACACCCTTCTGGTTATTTTTATTTTTAATCTCCAAAGTGGCAGGTCCAAGACCCTGTCTTGGCTTCCAAGATACATAGGCATTTTGTCCATCGAAGATGAAGCACCAGTTTTTAAGTGTGACATTCAAGACCTGCCTCTGACTCCCCTTGCCAGCCTCCCATTATTTCCCTTTCCACACGCTCTGTTCCAAAGTGCTATATGATTTAGCCCATGCTTATCTTACCAGCCTCATTTCTTGTCCCTCTGCCATAGTGCCCTTCTTCCAGTTTCTTGAATATCCAATCACCTTTGTATAGAGCCTTGTACATGCTGCCCCAGGACCTTGGTATATGCCACTCTCTCTGCCTAGAACTTTCTCTTTCCTCTTTCATTTGGTTAACCATTTTTTTTTTTTTTGGGGTGGGGACAACAGGATGTTCCTCAACAGGAACATCATTTCCTCACCCCCAATATTTATTAGATACCCTTTCTATTTAGTCTCATGGTGTCATGTGCTTTTTGCTTCTAGCACTTTCCATAATGTATACTCATTTACTTAGTTGTGTGATTATTTTCCTAATTCCTCTACTTTCAGCTCTGTAAGGCCTGGGACTGAACCTATTTGTTCACCACTATAATTCCAGAGTCTGATGCAGAGCCAGGCATAGATGCCTAACATTTTTTATTGAATGAATGAGTGACTAGGTGAATGAAATAGGCGGCTGCCTGCCTATCTCTGACACTGCTCCTCCTCCTGCTCTTGATTCTGCCTACTTCAGAAAGAATCTCTTTCTCACTTCTTTCTTTTTTTTTTAAAGATTTTATTTATTTATTTGACAGAGAGAGAGAGATCACAAGTAGGCAGAGAGGCAGAGAGAGAGGGGGAAGCAGGCTCCCTGCTGAGCAGAGATCCCGGACATGGGGCTTGATCCCAGGACCCTGAGATCATGACCTGAGCTGAAGGCAGAGGCTTAACCCACTGAGCCACCCAGGTGCCCCTCACCTATTTCTGGGCTTGTGGACTTGGGCAAGTTACTTGACTTCTCAGTGCCTCAGTTTCCCCCATACATAAAATGGGGATAACATTATCCATTAGAGTGGTCTCATCTAGTGGTTGTGCAGATTAAATGAATAAGTGTGTTAACAAACTACAAAGGATATCTGGCTCATGGTAAGTACTGAAGAAGCGGCTAAAAGAAAATATTCTGTGTGCAGCCTAATAGTTATGACTGTGCATTTATTCTAGCTTGACTTTAACTTGGGCTCTTGCTCTGGCTCTGCTTCCTCTAGCCACACCCTTTGTCTTGGACTCTGCCTTTCGCAGCACACAAGGCTTCAAAGTGGGCATAGGCTAACTGAAAGGATGGTTCAGGTAGACAGGGAAGACCCGGTGGCCGGTCTTCAGATGCAAACTGGGCAAACATGTCTGTGCCAGCAATTATAGGAAGTTCAGCGCATGACTCCCTGGAGCCTCAGCGTGAAGTTCAGCCCAATACTATTTGCTGAGCACTTGATGAGTGACGGTGCTGTGGGAGGGCTAGCAGCTTGAGCATTGGAGAGGGCCTGGTTCTGCTCTTGCTAAGCTCAGAGTCCGAGTCAGGAAGTGGCAATCAAGGGGGCTGAGTGCTGTGGGAGCCCTGGGGAGGGGCAGCTGGCCCACACGTGGGGAAGCTGCTCAATGGAGCTGATGCCTGAGCTGGTTCTTAGAAAGTGGAGATCACTTCAGGGTGCTAAACCGGGGACAGAGTGTTATCGGTAGAGGGAACAGCATTAAGAAGGCCCAGAGGGGCTGGAGAATAAGGCATTCAGCTCAAGGGAGGGCTCTGTGTATTTGGAGGAGAGCACAGATGGGTGCAGAGGAAGACAAGGCCGAGGCCCCAGGACTTCACATGTCATGCTAAGGACAAGGTTGTGTCCCGTGGCTTGTGAGCAGCAAGGAGAGGCTTTGGAAGAAAAGAACGCCACAGTCATCTCCAGATGCTGTCAGAAAGCAATTTGGCATTCTGATCCTGTTAGATGGAGGACAGTGGTAAATGCTTTGGCTACACACAGACCAAACTCAGTGCCATGGAGCAGATGGGGTCCAGGGTCCAGGTTCTAGGTTCTAGGGTCCAGACACACTTTCCTGGGTACCATGTGAGCTCCCTGAAGGTCACCCATTTTTTAAACTCAAGGGTTTTAAAGATGTGCTGGCTCTCCAGGCCTGGATGGGGCTGCTTCTCCGTCAGCACAATTTGCTTGAATAGCTTCCGGGGGGAAGTTGCAGATTCGTGAGTGAGCAAGCAGGTGGAAAGGACAGAAGGTAGCTCTTGTTGAGGCCCTACTCGGTAAGGAAACTAGCATATGCCCGGAAGGAACATTTTCTTCTTTAATCCTCCTCCAAACCCTGAGAAGTAGGTATTGTGACCCCTGTTTCGATAGATGAGAAAATGGAGGCCAGAGAGACCAGGAAATTCATCTAGCTCACCCTGGTGGTGGAATTTTAGTTTCTTTATATTCCTGCTATGTCGCTGGCTGTTTGCTTCATGCAGTATCCAGAGTAGGGTGAATCTTTGGTGCCTATGTCATTGATCCACTGCACTGTAAGACCATTCTGTGCCCAGCACTGGTGTTTCACACAACAGGCATTCGAACATGTCTGGCTCCAAACTGACAGAGAAGCTCTCAGTCACTAGAGGGCATTATGGATATATAATGTGGAGTGAAATTAAAAGGTACAGGTGATTTCCTTCACCCAGCTAGCCTTCTTTCCTTCTTGCCACCCACCCATCATTCCCTCATATACAACATAATTATTAAATGCCTCACACATACTAAGGGTTAGGCTAGGGACACTGGGGCTAAAACTTTCAAGTCATTCACTGGTTGCGGCTCACCATGGGGGGAAGGGCCCCCAGGGACCTAAATCACGAGACCATATAGGCAGCCTGTCACACAGGCTCAGAGTCTCTGAAGACTTCTCTGAAAAGGCAATATCTGAGCTACATTTAAAAAATGAGTTGAAGCTTGCTTAGTGTAGAAAGAGAGAGAAAATCGTACCCTGGGCTGTGAGGTCAGTGTAAGCAAAGGCTCAGGAAAAGAGAAGGGAAGCTGAGGACATGGACGTGCCCTGAGGGCTTCAGAAAATTCCAGGAAAGGTTTTATGTAAAGTGGGGTGGAAGAGAGAAGAGATTCTTTTCTTTGTCTGTTTGGTCTTCTATAAAGATTGCTTTGGTGGTTAAGAAGAAAATACAAAACTGGAGATAAAAGCAGCTTAAAGGCCAGGTTCATCTAGGCAAGCAGAGCTGGCTGTCTGGACTGATGCAGCCCATACGTAGCTAGAGAGAATTGGATAGAATTTCAGATTATTTATTATTATTATTTTTTTTTTAAGAGAGAGGAGAGGTAAAGGGAGGGGGAGAGAGAAAATCTTAAGCAGGCTCCACGCCCAGCACAGAGCCTCATGCAGGGCTCCATCTGATGAGCCTGAGATCATGATCTGAGCTGAAATCAAGAGTTGGATGCTTAAACAACTGAGTCATCCAGGCGCCCCTGGAAATTAAGATTTTAAGAGAGACTTTAAGGAAATAGAATGGATGGATCTCAGTGACAATAGCAATGAAGGAGCAGATGAACTAGAACCCAGGTTTTTGGTTCTAGTGCCTAAGAATTGGAGGTGATGTTCCTGGGGAGGAGAACATGGAGGGAGAGGAGAAGTGGGATGTGGAGAAGGATGACAAGTTTGATTTTAAACAAATAAAATTGAATTTTGAAAATTGAATTTGAACTACTTTCAGGATATCCGGGTAAAGATGTCCAGCAGGCAGCGCCACACATAGGTCTGGTTCTTAGAGAAAGAGAAGACGCTCGGTGGGAGAGAAGGGTTTTTAGAGGTACAAGCATGTGGATGGTCCTTAAAGACACAGATTTGAACGAGTCCAACTAAGAATAGTGTTTGAAAGAAGAAGAGATCACAGTGGAAGGAAGAATCTGAGAGGCTCAGCAGTCAAAGATCAAGACCTTGAAGGTTGGGTCTAAAGAGCGGGAAGAAGCCTTTTTGAGAATAACATCACTGAATCCCAGAAGGGAAGAACTTTAAGATGGTTTAGTTAATGGTGGCAAAAGCTGCAGAGGTCAGGAAAAAGATGGACAGGGTTTTATTTATTGGTTTTAACAAGTAACATGGGTAAGAGGAGTTTCCAAGATTTAGTGCTTTGAGAGGGCACTAAGGCAAAGAAGCGGAGGCTGTAGGTGACCACACTGTTATAGGAACCTTGAGTGTGAAGGGAAGGAGAGAGAGGAGGAATGAACTCTGTAGGGGTACAGAATCAAGAGTGGGGGGGTTAGACTTAAGAAGAGAGAATCTTGACCACATTTATGAAAACGTAGTAAATATAGAGGAAAAGGTTGAAGATACAACATGGGGAGCAGATGTAGACAGATTTATGGGTGATGGGTAAATTTACAGGGGATGGAGGTGGCAATCATCTGATGGAGGAAGTTACATCCCAAGAAAATGAAAGAAAGAGAGAGAGAAAATGAGACATTCTTGACCAGAACAGGAGATAATTCCCTCAGACTGCCTGTGGCTGAAAATCAGTCTTGGAATTCTGTTGCAAGTCTTTGTAGTTTTTTGTTTGTTTGTTTGTTTTGGTCTATTCATGGGTCCACTCTTCTCA